CCAGCGCGCTACCTTGCCATTGGGGTGGCTATACACCCGTTGATTTATATGAAACAAAAATAACATAACATGAAAAAGGTCCTTGCCCTGTACTTCATCTTCTTCCCCAAGTTGGCCAGAAGCTCTGTAACTTTCTCATCTCTCAATAAAAATGAAAACTGATAACATGAATGTTGTAGCATTTTTATCACGATTCTAACCATGTAAATTATATAAGCTAACAATCAAAGATCAAAATGAATTTTAAATTCCCTAATTTTTCCAGGAACTTCAAGTTTAAAATTCTCTCTACTCAGGCCAAATAAATGCAATATATATATATATATATATATATATATATATATATATATATATATATATATATATATATATATATATATATATATATATATATATGTGTGTGTGTGTGTGTGTGTGTACAACTTTGTAGCAATGACGTCTATATTGTTTCTTCACAAATCATGGCCAATGGATGCCTGTATGAAGAGATAGAAGTTGAGATTTTTACCTCTTTCAGTTGAAATCGTGAATGGAGTTTGAGCGAGTTTTATGAAGGCCTGATGATTGCTTGAGCTTGCTTGAACCTCCCTGAGTGTGTTCCAACCCTTACCTTGCTTTGAAAGTGTCTGAAACTCTCTATCCAAGTCAACCTGCAAGCTTTGAAAACAAAAATGGCAGATGATGGAGAAGGAGTTACAGTGTAGGGATGATGGTCTGGATCACTTAGATATCAAGTAGGTAAAGTGTTTTGATGATTGAAACTTGAAACGCACGAGCCAAATGATGGATTGCTATGCTTATGCAAAATCTGCATGTTTTTGACAGTCTTTTGGTGATATGGAGTGTTTTAATGTTTCAGGCTTCTAGCAATCCTCTTTTCTGTTGTAATGTGTTTGTATATTAGTATGGAAAGGGTTTCAAGTCAATTCTTCCACAGGTTTTTCAATCCTAGCCTTTTTGCACACTTTCTTGCTTTTGAAGCAAAGTGAAGGGACAAGGCTTTACATGCTTGTACTGGCTTGCTTAGGGTTGGTATAAGTTTTGTACAATTTTCTTTAGGCATGTAGTACTTGTATGTGCAAAGGAGACAGGTTCAATGCTCAAGAATTGGAAAGTTGTAAAAGTGCACCTTTTCCAAAATGGCAATGGCCACTTTATGCCATTTATGGAATTATAACTTGGATAAAGATTCTAGGGCTTGGATTAAAGCTTTTTAAACTAAATAAGAATTAAATTATGGAGTAAGGAACAAGTTTGGGACCTGTAAAGCATGGATTAGGCAGCATAGGTACTAATTTGAAAATTGTTCTTCATGAAATGGATTGAATTCAAAGTGAGAAATTGCCAACTTCATCTCCTCGATTCTCCCTACTAAAAAATGATCTTGAGGAGTTCTTTGACATTTTGGAAATCTTGAAATGTACTCTATAACTCATCTTTGAAATTCATTTCAAGACTCCTCTTGGAACTAGGTGAAAAATTACGATGAAGTTGGGTCCAAAACCTGCCTAAATTAGGGCAAAATTTCACTAAGTTATCTAGTTCATGAGCATGTATTCATAAAATTATATCTTGAGATACAAGAATCTTTAGGGAATAGTGTGTGAAGAAAAGTTGTATCTTTCATGGAGATATACAACTTTCATGTTGGGAACTTTCTTTGAATCATCTTGTATCAAGGTGAAAAATGGCTTAAAGTTGAGAAAAAATAAGAAATTTTCTATACTTAGAAAAATTTCTAAGTTAAGAAAATTTCCAATTTTAAAACCTAATCTTCAATCCTTGATTTATTGATGAACAAGTTTCACATTTTGACATGTTTTGATGAATTGTGACCCTTGGCACTTGATTTTGACCAAAAAGTGAAAGTTTGACTTTTCAATATACAATTGACTTTTGATCAGTTGACTGCAAATTTCATCTGTCTATCAATGAAATTGAAATGTTTTGAACCATGTAATTTGGTAATGATGATGAAATTTAATCCTTGAAATCATGCTTCAAATCAATTGGTCATTTTCAAGGTCAAAAATCAGAAATTTCCCTTCCTCAATCAAAACCCTAATTTTGACCATTTTTCCCTTTTGATGATTTGATCAAATTTCTTGAGGAATTATGATCCAAACTTGATCAAATGATACATGTGAGTCTAAAATGTTGATGTTGATCAAAAATTAAGAAGTTTGACTGTAAATTGTCCATGGTTGACTTTTTTCCCAATACAGCTGATTTTTAGGTCAACTGTCCAATTGACTGATCAAAAATGTGATTCAAAGCTTGAAACTTGACATGAGTATTCTTAAGGGTCTATAATTATGCTTGAAAGTCATATGAAGCATTGATAATCCAAAAATCCTTGTGAAAACTCAAACCCTAATGTTGGGTCATCAGTGCATAATGAGATGTCTTGAGCTGGTCAAACCCTAATCCAGTCTTGAATCAAAGAGATCTTGTGAGAATAATCTTGATAAATGAGAGGGAAAATTTTGGGGTACAACAATAGGTATTGGGACTTTTACCTCATAGTAACACCCACCCAATAAGAAGAAGATCCAGTACAACAGTAGTATATGGAAGACAGTAAAATGCAATGCATACATATGCTCAAGTGTATACAAAATGAGTGAATAAACTAAAAGCATAAAAATAAACACCCAAAGAAAAGAAGTAAGAGCTAGGAGCGACTCCGGGATGGACCAGCATTTGGTCGACCTATCCCCAGTGAAGTCTCCAGCTGAAACAATTGGCTGAAAATCATCAAACAATGAAGTCTCCATCGAACGTCTTTTATCCCACGTGTAGGGAAAGGTAAACATCGAGAAAACCTGAGAAGGGAGAAGTCACGGTCTTGCGACTGAGAGATCGGGTAAGGGAGTCTGTTACGCAAAGGGAAGGTATTAGCACCCCACACGCCCGCAGTACTCTATGGTATCCACTCTTGTTGTCTATCTTATGGGTGTATTTAATCTATGATTACTGTTTACTATACTACTAAGGAGAGAATTCATGCAAAAGAAAGGGAAAAAGAATGTAGGGAAAATAAAATTGTGCTCGCTTGGGCCCTACCCCAATGCCTACGTATCCGTTTTGAGGAATCAGAGCTACCGTAGTTCGGCTCATATGTTTTTATTTGTTTGTGTTTTTTATGGACGAAGTTAATCCCGCCTTCTGCCGCAGCTCGACCTTTGGAGACTTATGCGTTGGCCTAGAAGTAAATTAATCATGTCCTTACCTAAAAAGGGTTTTAGAGAAATGGTGCTTGGACGCAAAAAATGGTTTGAATTGGTTTGTATTTTTGTCACCTTGAAAAAGGGTTTAAGTATGATTAGCATGTTTTTTATTTGCTAAGAAAATGAGTTTTAGTTTTAGATGCGAGGATGCAAAAAGGGAAGAAAAGAGTCTAAGGGAGACTGGCCTATTTCTAAACCTAATGTTATCATACAATGGTAATCCTATGTCAAGGATGAAGGGGAAGTTTCTACCTACTATTAGCATGCATGGTTTACAACCTAAGGTCTAACTTGTGTTCGAATAGAGCAAGCGCGTCCTAAGGGAACATGGTATGTACAAGGACAAAGCAAGCAAGCCAATAAGATCAAGAGAGCACACCTAGAGAGATCCTATCTAAGTTAGCATGCCAAAGAAATTCTAACAAAACTATCCTATAGGGAACATGCAATGAGAGCGAAGTCGTGATCTCAATTTCTAAATTGAGTGACTCATCGATCAACAAGAAATAAAGGAAAGCGATAAAATCCTATAGGGAGCATGCACTGAGAGCGAAGTCGTGATCTCAATTCCTAAATTGAGTGACTCATCGATCAACAATCACAGAAACAAACACAGGCACAACACATATAGCAGATGAAGTGCGAAATTCCTGCTACAGGTCTTTAAACAGCGACTTTGAGCACATGCTCATTATTTCCTACTTCTCATGATATCTAGAAAGCAATAAAGTGCGAAAATGAGAAATAAAAAAAATAGGTTGCGATGATACCGAATGGAGAAGGTCTGTTGCCTCTTCAAAACCATACAAGCAATAAGAAAACTCTACTAAAAGCTGCTTCACACAAATGGTTAAAGGATTAATCTACAAGCATTCCACATTTCGAAAGTTACATCGACATTCTATCATAAAATCTTGGCTAAAGAGGGAAACCAAATTGATTACCAAATATAAAAGTAATAATAGAAAATTCTAATAAAATTCTAAAGAGAAATCTAAAAATTCTAAAATGTTCTATCATTTTTTATATTATTTTTATTATCAATTAAAAGAAAAATTAAACTAGAATAATAAAAAAAGTGAAATAATAATAAAAAAGGAAAGTTAGAGGAGTCAGGGGGTGCAAGATGAATTCAGCAGGTATAGTCCAGCAATCAGAAGTCTAGGCACTAAGCCCATTTTATTTGATCCCTTGAGGCCCTTTTTTGTTCTCAAACCTAGAAATGCCTAAAAAGTCTTATGGGCCTTGGGAAAGAGAGTGTGGTCCGATCCAATAGCAACACCAAACCCACTTCAGATTTTGTTTATTTTTCAGCATTATACTATATATTGATTGAATTAAATTAAAGAATAAGAAATAGAATATATATATATATAAGATATGGTGCATTCATGGAGTTTAGGGTTCAAAAGGAAGTGACAGTTGGTCTTCCACGAACAACTCCTTCTTCACCCTTCTTGAATCAGCAGTGCGGTGCCTCTTCAAACTTGACCTCGTTGTCCGTTCTATTGCAATCGAAACTCCACAGCCTCACTTCCTTGCATCTTCACCATCGATACACAACGATGCTCCTTCTCTGCTTCACCATTTTTCGTCTTCTTCTTCTTCCTATTTCTCTAACGATCTCGCCCCAAAAACTTACCGGAGTACCACCGGCGGTCCTTCAATGAACGATCACAAGAACAACGAACAGGCTCCTTCAAGAACTCAGTTTCGTTCACATTATATGATTCCTATTCTCTTCTTCTTTTATTTCGTCTTCAATTCAAGATGGTGACAAAATCACTCTTGCTGTTTGCAGATTTGATGGCGGTTGTTGATGATGAAAACTCGGTGATGATGGTTGAATCTGGACTGATGTGAGGAATTGATACTTTATGTTTGTTTTTTCATTGAGAAAAGTGATTGAAGCATCGAGGTTGTGATATCAAGCTTGTTGAAGATGAAAGAGGGAGTGTTGTCGATGTCGTTTGCAGATGAAGAGTGGAAGATGGTGATGATGATGATGAAGGTGTAGAAAATAATTTTTGAGAGATCAAGGTTTGTTGAAGAGAATCAAGATGAAGGTAAACGTTCTAGATATTTTAGAGAATGGTGAGTTATATGTGATTTTCACTGTAGTTTTTCTGTATAATGATAAGTGAAATCAAATCCCCTCGAATCTATGAGAAAATTGTGTTATATGGCTTGAGAGGTTGTTGGAAATTTTGTTAGAGATTGGTTGAAACAGTCAGGGTTAGTTACCAAAAATTTTGTTAGTTAGTTAGGGGTTATTAGGAAGTTAGAAAGTTAGTTGGAATTTGGTTAGAGTTAGTTTAGATTAGAAACTGTTAGAAATCAGTTTTTGTTTTCTGTTATGACAGTTAGGAAGTTCAAAGTTCTGTTATGCAGGGTGGTTTTGAATGGGCTGTTAATTATGCAGGAAGATTAGGAAGTCAGTTTTGACAGTTTGCAGGGTTTTTGCTAGAAGGAGTCCTGTTGGGATTTTGTTGTTTGTAATTCTGTTTTGGTTGTTTTTACAGTTCTATTAGGCTGTTTGGGATGGGCTTGTCTGATTTTGTTTTCTGGATAACTGGTTTACTTATGATACTCATTTGATGATTTTTCTGGTTATGCAGGTTTGCAGGGCATTAGTTTATAACCTGGAATTCGAACTGGTTTATCGAATTTTTGCACATCTGCAAAGTGTTTGCAAGGGTTTTGGAACTGTTTTGATTGTGAACTGTTTTTTAGTTATGCAGGGCATTTTTGGTCTAGCTGTGGATTTAATATTGAGAAGCAAACTGGTTTTTGCTCTTGATTTTCTGATGAACCATTTTGGAACTTATGTGTCCTTATTGTATGCGCAGGCTTCTACCTTTAATGCAGTTTTTATTTTGTACGATAGGTTCCAACATTTTGCATGGGCTTTGGACAATCAAGGCTATTTTTTATTTAATTTTTGGATAAGGCATAAAGCCAGCTGCAACGTGAAACCTGGACATGGAATTGAAAACTAGGAGTTTAGGAACACTAGGCTTAGTGTAGATTTTATTGTGAAATTTCCTTTTGATGTAATGAAATGGCTTGTAAATGAACACTTGAAATATGGATTATTGGTGTAATGGTTTGAATTTGGAAATGAATCATGGTTGAGAAGGCTTGAATACTTGGACATATAGTTGGAATTAGTTTAGGGATTAGAATATATTCTGATGACTTTCCTGGTGTAAATGCTTTTGAGACATTTTGTAATGAATTGCTTGAAAATCTTTGCATGATGCTTAGAAAAATTATGGTTGAATGGTCATGAACCTTTGAGTGAACATTGAATGATGAATGTTGATGTTGAACTTGAATGACGTAAATGATGAATGATGTGCGAAATTTGAATAATGGTGATGAATTGTGAATGAAACAAATGATGTATGTTGAACTTTGTGACTTGTAACTTCAACTCTAAACAATCCTCACGCCTTTGCTTTCCAATCTCATTGAATTGACCTTTATGACAAATTAATGACCAAAATGATTGATGAAATTCGATTAGTCTTGAAGCCCACTTTGTTTCTCAACTAACATATCCAAATCATGCAACACAAATCATTTTAGTTCAAAGAAATCACAAGACCATTTCTCAATCTATAGTTTGCAATTTAAATTTCAAACGCCTTTATCTTCGATCTCCGAAAGCATCTTGCATGACAAGCCACAAGCAAACAAAATTATGACCATGCCCCGATCATAACTAATTTCTTGCTTCTCATTTTGTACCAATTTTCGGGGTTTCACAATTCTTGATGACCAAAGGTCACAAAGGAAACCCCCTTAGAATTCCTTGATGATGAGGATAAGACTTGAAGTGTAGTAATGAAACCTTTTAGATGAAGATTAACTTGAGGGATGCCCAAGATATCCATGAATGCCAAATCCTAATTCTCATTATCTTTAATTGAAATAATGCTACGTTTAAGCACCAGAGGTTTAAACCCTAATTCTCCAATCCATGCTTCAAGAAGAACCAGAAGAATAAAGGCTTATTGGATATCTGCACCTCACACCAAAAGAAACCCTAGCTTACATGATTGCTGACCTTTTGAACAAAGGGGTTTTATTGAATGAAAATATATGCTTTGTTAGTGACCTAATGGAATATATGCATATGAATGCAAAACCTAAGCTAGATAAAAGTAAAAGGGGTAGGACAAATTTAGGGTATTACAGTTGGATCTTAAATTTCACACACAGTGCGGTGATCATAGTATTGTTTAGATTCGGACCATGTCTGTGATTATCCTCTCCGAGATACCGTACCGACAGATGAGATTCGGTTTGATGAACAAGGCGATAACATTCTTGGCAACGGAAGCGAAAGAAGTCGCTTCAACCCACTTTGTGAAGTAGTCAATGGCCACCAAGATGAAGCAATGTCCATTAGAGGTTGTGGGCTTGATTTCTCCAATCATATCAATGCCCCACATTGTGAATGGCCAGAGAGCAGTCAGGAAATTCATAGGAACTGGAGGTACATGCACTTTTTCAGCATAGATCTGACACTTATGACAAGTTCGTGAATGTTGATAGCAATTTGATTCCATGGTAGACCAGTAATAACCTGCCCGTAGGACCTTCTTTTCCATCGTATGCCCACTGCAATAGGTGCCAAAAGTGCTTTCATGTAGATCAACCATGATCTTTTCTACCTCAACCTTGTCCATGCAACGAAGCAAAACAAAGTCATGGTTTCGCTTGTAGAGAATGCCATTACGGATGAAGAACTTAGCAGCGAATCTTCTCAAGAACTTCTTATCATTGACTGAAGCTCCTTCCGGATACTCTTGAGCCTCAAGATACCTCTTAACTTCATGGAACCAAGGCTGTTCCACTACTTCTTCAATATCGATCTCGTGACATTAAGCTGGTTCATCCATCTGTTCAATGGTGATATGGGGAGCCTCGTTATCCCATTTGAGTTTAAACATGGATGACATTATGGCTAGCTCATCCGCTAGTTGATTTTCTTCTCGCGGGAAATGCTCAAAGGTAATCTTCTCAAAACATGGGATTAATGTCAACACATGTTCTTTGTAGGGGATAAGGTTAGGGTGCTTCGTGTCCCATTCTCCTTTGATCTGGCTGATGACTAAGGTTGAATCTCCGAATACACTTAAGGACTTGATCCCCAAATCTATAGAAGCTTTGCGACCAAAAATGCACGCTTCGTATTCTGCAATGTTATTTGTATAGTTGAAGCAGAGTCTTACAGTAAAGGGAGTGTGACATCCTTCAGGGGATATGCGTACAACACCTATGTCATTGCCGAGTGCGTTGGACGCCCCATCAAAAACCAGGGTCCATCGGGATCCTTGTTCAGGTCCGTCATATGGTCTGAGTTCTTCACAGTTGTTTACCATCATGATGTCTTCATCTGGGAATTCGAACTTCATGGACTGGTAGTCATCCACAGCTTGTTGAGCAAAGTGATCGGCTAGTACACTGCCCTTTATTGCTTTTTAGGTAGTATACTGAATGTCATATTCTGTCAAGATCATCTGCCATCTCGCTATGCTCCCAAAGAGGGCAGGCTTCTCGAATATGTATTTTATTGGATCCATCTTGGATATCAATAAGGTAGTATGGGTCAGCATATACTGTCTTAGTCGACGAGCAGCCCATGCCAGCGCACAACAAGTTTTCTCGAGTAGTGAATATCTTGTTTCATAGTCGGTAAACTTTTTGCTCAGGTAGTAAATAGCATGCTCTTTTTGGCCAGACTTGTCATGCTGCCCCAACACACACCCCATTGAATTTTCCAAAACAGTTAGATACATGATCAAGGGTCTTCCCTTGATTGGTGGCATCAAAACAAGAGGCTCTTGTAGGTACTCTTTGATCTTGTCGAAGGCAGTTTGACACTCATCATTCCATTTGACTACTTGATCTTTCTTCAGTAATTTGAGATTGGTTCACAAGTAGCAGTCAAGTGAGAAATGAATCGGGAAATGTAGTTTAGCCGTCCTAAGAATCCTATGACTTCCTTCTCAGTACGAGGAGCAGGCATTTCTTGTATTGCTTTCACTTTGGCATGATCCACTTCGATACCTTTACCGCTGATGACAAAGTCTAGGAGTTTACCGGATCTCACCCCAAATGTGCATTTATTCGGGTTCAACCTCGGCTTGTATTTCTTTAGTCTCTCAAACAGTTTCTGCAAATGGTCAATATGTTCCTCTTCCATTTGAGATCTGGCTATCATGTCGTCCATATAGACCTCTATTTTGTGATGTATCTTGTCGTGAAATAGAGCTACCATGGCACACTGATAGGTGGCCCCTGCGTTCTTCAATCCGAATGGCATAACCTTGTAACTGAATGTGCCCCACTGTGTGACGAAGGTTGTTTTCTCCATGTCCTCAGGTGCCATTTTGATCTGGTTGTAGCCTGAGAAACCATCCCTAAATGAGAACACTTTATGCTGTGCGGTATTGTCAACCAGAATGTCGATGTGGGGAAGTGGGAAATCATCCTTAGGGCTTGCCCTATTCAAATCTCTGTAGTCCATGCACATTCATACGTTGTCGTCCTTTTTAGGCACTGGAACAACATTGGCGACTCATTATGGATAGGAGGTACGACCAAGAATCCGGCGTTGAATTGTTTCATGACTTCAACCTTAATCTTTTTTTACATGTCTGGCCGCATGCGATTGACTTTCTGTTTTACCAGAGGGCAATCTTCTTTTGTTGGTAGACGATGTACCACGATATCAGCATCAAGTCCAGGCATGACTTTATACGTCCAGGCAAAGACCTCAACATAATCATGTAGCAACGGAGTCAGACGCTTCTTAACACTGGGTTCTAGATTGGCACCCACCTTGACTTATTTCTTGTCATCTTTGGTACCTAGGTTTATTGTGTCCACTGATTCTTCGTGGGGTTGTATGGTCCTTTCTTCTTGTTTTAGTAACATGTCCAGTTCCTCTGGTACTTCACAATCTTCCTCACCTTCGTCTTCGGCTTGGTGGATTAGACTTTCAGAGTCACAGAAGGCCATAGCAGAATCGTTACCCATGGGATCCCGAATGGATGTAGATCTGCATTTTGAATGTGAGTGTGTGTAAGAGTATAACTATCTTTGAAAGAAATAAAAATATAGAAAAAGAAAGACAAAGAGCACAAAGTTTGTATACAAAAACATCCATGATTCATTGATGACATATGAAAATGAAGTAACAACCCTTACAAATGGACCATTGTGCCTCGGGTAAGACACGATGTTTTAAAAGTCTTAATTGTTTAATTATTACAGGTCCGACAAAAATTTAAAGACAATTACTGTTGGATAAAAGTAATTGGGACAAAATCTTTAGCTTCCCAGTTGCTGAGTCCTCCATTGACAGTTGGGAAAATCCATTCCTCCAATTCGTAGCTATCCTCATCATCATCCCCCACTGCGTTGATTCTGTGGTTGCTGATCTTCAAGGGTGGTCCCCCGGTACGAGCACGGCGTACAACTTTCTGGGTTCCTGAAGTGAAACCCAAACCAAATTTTTCTGATTTGTATGGGATATCCGGGAGTTGGCCCCAAATAGTACACCCACCTTCTTCGATCACTTCATTGGCATCTTTCAGAGAATACGTCTTTAGTGGAGGTCTTGTAATCTTCGGGACTTGGGAAACAGCCTTGGTTACTGCCACAGTTTGTGGGACTTCCTCGAAATGCTGAAACAGAGTTTCAATGAATTCACCATCCAATTCCACGTATCTGAAGGAGTTTAAGTGACTGAACATATATTCCTCTTCTCCATGGACAGTCATGATTTTCCCCTCGGTTGGATATTTCAGCATTTGATGTAATGTAGAGGTAACGACACCAGCGTTGTGAATCCATGGTTGGCCCAATAAACAGGAATAGGAAGGGCGAATGTCCATCATCTAAAAAGTTGCAAAGATTTGGGTTCCAACTTTTATGGGGATATCCACCTCCCCATGCACCACTCTCTTTGAACCGTCGAAGG